TTTTTTTCGGGGGGAGGGGGGGCCTAATTATAGAGGTACCTTAATATAGATTTCGATTGAAGGTTTTTCTTCTTTCACTTTGACAACTGCTCAAGTTCACATTCAAACTAAATGAAGTACAGTATGTACATCACACACACACACACACACACACACACACACACACATATATATATATATAAATATAAATATATATATATATATATATATACATATATATATATATATATATATATATATATATATATATATATATATATATATATATATATATATATATATATATATGTATACATATATATACACACACGCACATATATACACATTTATACATATTTATATCTATATATGTTTATATATATATATATACATATATATATATACATATATATATATATATATATATATATATATATATATATATATATATATATATATATATATATATATATATATATGTCTATGTATATATATATATATATATATATATATATATATATATATATATATATATATATATATATATATATATATATATATAGAGAGAGAGAGAGAGAGAGAGAGAGAGAGAGAGAGAGAGAGAGACAGACAGACAGACAGACAGACAGAGAAAGAAAGAGAGAGAGAAAAAAAAAAAGATTGAACGAGAAAAAAGAGAGAAAGAGAGAGAGAGAGAGAACGAGAGAGAAAAAAAAGGAAAAAAAGAAAGAAAGACAGAGAGTAAAAAAAGAAGAAAAAAAAACATTTCTAACTAAAATTTCTAACTCATCTTCCTCTTCCTTCCAGCAAACGGGAAGTCTCTGCTAAAAACTTCACCGTCCACAGCGTCCACTGCCAGAGGAACATCGCTATATGTACTCTTTGTAGCGAACCCGTCCCTCGCTCCCACTACCAACAGCATGTGGAAACCAGTCACAAGAGTATCCAGTGCTCCAAGTGCGAAGCTCATCTGGAACCCCTTCAACTCTTTGCCCACGAGGTAAGTAGGGAAGGGGGAGGGAAGGGTAAGGGGAGGGAAAGGGAGGGAGGGAAAGGGAGGGGAAGGAAGGGGGAAGGGGAGGGAAGGGGGGAGGGAGGGAAGGGGAGGGAAAGGGAGGGAGGGACGGGGAGGGAGGGAGAGGGAGGGAAAGGGAGAGAAGGGTAAGTAAGGAAGGGGAGGGAGGGAGAGGGAGGGAAGGGGAAGGAAGGGAGAAGGAGAGAAAGGGTAAGTAAGAAAGGGGGAGGGAAGGAAAGGGAGGGAGGGAGAGGGAGGGAAATGGAGGGAGAGAAAAGATAAGGAGGGAAGGAGAGGGAGGGAAGCAGAGGGAGGGAAAGGGAAGGAGAGGGAGGGAGAGAAAGGGAGGGAGAGAAAAGATAAGGAGGGAAGGAGAGGGAGGGAAGCAGAGGGAGGGAAAGGGAAGGAGAGGGAGGGAGAGAAAGGGAGGGAGAGAAAAGATAAGGAGGGAAGCAGAGGGAGGGAAGCAGAAGGAGGGAAAGGGAAGGAGAGGGAGGGAGAGAAAGGGAGGGAGAGAAAAGATAAGGAGGGAAGGAGAGGGAGGGAGAGAAGGGAGGGAGGAAAAGGGTAAAGAGGGGGGAGAGGGAGGGAAGGGGTGAGGAAGGAAGGAAGGAAGGGAAAGGGTAAGGAAGATAAAGAAGGGAGGGGAAGGGAGTTAAGGGAGAGAGGGGAAGGGAAAGGAGGGAAAGGGAGGACGGAAGGGTAAACGGAAAGGGAAGAGAAGGAAAGAGCCTCAGGGGGTGGGGAAAGCACTTAGTTTTATTTTTTGTAAAACCATGTATTGATAGATAGAGGGGGAGATAGATAGGTAGATAGATAGATAGATAGATAGATAGATAGATAGATAGATAGAGATAGAGAGATAGATTGATAGATAGATAGATAGAGAGAGAGAGAGTGAGAGAGACAGAGAGAGAGAGAGAGAGAGAGAGAGAGAGAGAGAGAGAGAGAGAGAGAGAGAGAGAGAGAGAGAGAGAGAGAGAGAGAAAGTTCTCTCTGCCTCCCACAGTCACCCCAAAAGGAGCATTTCGGAGACACAGGAAAGAGAGTGAGATCCCAGCCGATGACGCAACCGCCCACCGCCCTTCCTTATAAGCATCCTCGTATCTTCCTGAAAGTGGGCGTCGAATCCTACACTCCTACACCCACGCCCACACTCACACCCACACTCGCGCCCAGGGGGAAACCTTCAGTCGAGTTTGGAGAAATTGCTTTTGAAGCCTCCTCCTCCTCATTTTTCTTCTCCTCCTCCTCCTCCGCCTTCTAATTCCCTCCTCCTCCTCCTCCTCCTCATTTTTATTCTTCTCCCCTTCCTACTCCCCCTCTCCCTCCTCCTCCCCTTCCTCCTCCTCCTCCTCCTCCTCTTTCTCCTCCTCCTCTTTCTCCTCCTCCTCTACCTCCTCCTCCCTTTCCCCCTCTTCCTCCTCCTCCTCCTTCTTTTTATTCTTCTCCCCTTCCTACAGTCCCTCTCCCTCCTCCTCCCCTTCCTCCTTCTCCTCTTCCTCC